AATGCAGCTTTGAAAATGTATTATCCACAAAAGAACGTCACCTGTAAAAAGCTGTCCCTAACGTGTGTGTTAACATAAACTGTGTAATATGTTGATGGTAGTGCCTATTTATTAATTGTTTGATAATCTAGTTTAAAAAAGAAGACAAATAATTGTACAGCCTCAAAACAATCTGATGCATGTGTCAGCGTAGATTGAAATGTCTTCGAGGGGAATACGTTCTCTACAAACGTTTTCAGTTTGTTGTACCATAAATAAATACAATGACTTACAGAAATAAATCGAGCAGTAATTCCTACTCTGACATGCTAAGGTAACTCCAGTAAACATGTGCACCCTACTGACGGATTTACATGCAATTGAAACTAAAATACCAGACTGTCAATCAACATACTTGTATAGTAATAAGCAACAGACAAACAAATTGTGATAATAGCAGTGAAAGTTGTCACGCCTTAGATGCATAGGCAACATGTGCTTCGCCTAATATATGATAGAGTAAAACATTGATTTGTGATATTGATAAAAAAGGATGTAATCAGGAAAATTGTTCAGTGGCCCAAATGAGGACATGGTCAAGTTCAAGACATCTGATTATTTAGATAAATGCGCATGTACGATACGAATCAGAACATACACACATATTCCAATTTCGGGATATGCTCATTTCATTTGCCCCGCAACAGAATAATCAGGGTTATCGTCAATTCCTGATGTAGTATCATACGGCGAGCTAACGATCTCAGAAGCATTGGTTCCCCTTTGACAATGGTCATAATCGTCTTCATCTGTGTTCCTTTCGGTAGTACTGGAGTTGGGCAACTGCCTGAGGTTGCAGAGGCAGCAGTGTCGTAGTCATTCTGGTGTGTCTGAGGGTTGACTTTCTTTTGGAAGAGATTGTAACCGTAATCGTCTTCTCCAATATTTCCTGGTTGAGCCACCGAAACTGTTGTATCGTAGTCACTTGTCTGTTGGGATGGCTTGTCTCCAATGTGATCATACTCGCCTTCAGCTGCAGAGGCTGTTGAATTGTCTCTTTTGCAGTTTGCCCCCAACCAGGTTCGATGGTAAAATACGTGTTTGTAGTTGGAGGAAGCACCATGCCGTCCGCAGTAGCGTAGTGATAGTCACTGTTCTGTGTCCTGAGTTCCTGGATTTCATGGTAGTTGTTCTGTGGGATCTTACCGGCCAAACTGTAGGTCATATCAGGCTTGGCATCTTTAGAAAGTGATTCGGTCTTCTCCTTCTCTTTTGCTATTCGTTCGTCTGGAAGTCAATGTATAGATAAGAGTTAGATTGAACAATTACACAGATACTCTTGCAGTAGTATTATGAATACATGTTATTGCAATATTAATGTAATAGCAATCAATACAAACCTGTTGAGGCATTTCAGTGACCTTCAAGTCCTTTAAATGTCACCAAGTAAAAATCTAAAGAGTTTTCATTTAGTTGCTCCAGAAACACAATATATAACTACATGTATTTGAATGTAAAAGGCGCATCATCAACACTTTAATGGGTTACAAACGGATTCAAAGCAAAGTGAAGTGTAGTCCAAAGGATTTAATGTGTACATATATATATCACCTTTCTCTTCAAATTCGGTCTGTGTAACATTTTGCCAATTTTGGCTAAGTCTCGGTCACATTTTGCAAATCCGATAGCACGTGAGCAATACTTAATTAAATATGCGTTCATGAATACAAAATTAATTACACCAATACTAACCTTGTGCCGTATGATCCACACTGATACCAATGTTACAAACAAGACAGCTACGACTGTGGCCACAACTCCACCAGCTATTGCACCAGTGGTATTTTCCGATTGTCCTGAGATCAAATCAAACATCGCTTTTAAATATTGATTCTGTTTTCATATTTATGCACGAACAATTGACATGGTGAATGTCTGAATTAATGATGGACAGTATTGGCCAATAATGCAATTTCTCTGTCGCTTCAGCAGTCCTGGAATTGTATTAGGCGATAAAGGACATCGGGTTGATGCATGTCGTCGTGTCTGAATGGCGTTGATCGTTACAGAACACTGTATGGTCTGGGCCAGACTCGATTACGTGGAGACAGCCGTCAGGTAGTTGGCATATTGTCGCCTGCGCCGTCAGACAACAATCACACAATCCAGTTCATATGCTACTGATTGGTATATTTATCCGTTAGAATTTGAAATACACTCTAAAATCAATGTTACAATCATTATCTGTGATTGTAACGGGCAAGAAATAACAAGATGGGCGTTAACAACGGTTTGTTTTACCTTACATTGGTTCCAGTTGTCAAACTGTTCGTAAATAAGTTGGTCTTACCTAATAAATTGTTTTAGTTTTCTCACTTGAATCAGATGCAATATGAATATTTAGAGAATTTAATCACGCTGCAAAACAAAATACACTTAAATGATCTGGTGTGACGAAGTCGTGTAAACTCAAAAGCGTGAATATATTTTGCAGCGTTTGTGAAATTTGTTCTATAAAACAATTTCACAGCATTCCAGCTTCCAGTGACAACTGACATGTTAAAACAAGAAATACACGAGTGGTAAAGTGTGAAGGAATGAAATATGTAATGATGTATACTTTTACGTTTAACGGTATATAACTAGGTATAATACCTGCAACATCAGTGTTGTTGTCCGCAGTCAAAGTGGAAACTACATTATGGGTCATCGTTAGCATCGTTGTTCTGCTGGATCCTACCATTCAAGAAAACATACTAAAATTAGAAGTGCTATATATCTATCTGTCTGTCCGTCCGTCTGTCTGCATATCTATCTATCTGTCCGTTTTCAGGTTTGTTTTTAAGTGTATGCAACTAAGACTCTTACAAGTTGGATACATTTTAAGAACAAAGCGAAATTTATCGTTACAAGACACTTGGATGAATCAGTGAAATTATTATTGACACCACTTATTCTCCCTATAGTGCAGTGGCTAAGTTCCGATTTTGAGGTTGATCGTTACATACCTGACTAAAGCATGACACCTTGCTGGGGAATCTCATGATAAAACATATTTTGGGGTGCCCGATTTTTTGGGCCCACTTTCCGAAAAAAAAGATTTCCACTTCTAACACTACGTGACTTTATTCCGCCGGGTTATAGAAAAAAAACCTTGCACATTGCTACTGACCATAATGATAAAAAGAACATAGTTTTAGCGTGTGTCCGTTTTTGGGGGCCTGTTTTCCCCAAAATTCAAGGCGGACGCCAAAAATCAAAGAGTTCTTAAGTCCACCCAGAATGGTCGCCGACTATGAAAAAGTCTTCATTTGTTGCAATATGTGAGATATATTTGTCGTTCAAAGGGCTATTTCTAATACATTCCAGAAATCTAACAAACAAGATTTATGTTTAATAGTAAAAGATATAATTTATCATCCAATTAATGAAAAAGTTACTGTTTTGATCAGTCATGTGACATCATTTTGTCAAACATCGATCTCTGTGATTCTGAAGTCTCCTTAATCAGTTCCCATTGCAGTTACAGAGGGGATGTACATAAAATTTGAGGAGATTTATAAAGAGATTACAAATGCACTTCTTTGAGCATAGAGGTTGAGACTTGCAGCCACATTTGATAGGTTTTCGACAACTTAGTGAATCTTCTGGCAGTGTTATCCATACGGGTTGTCATGCGTTGTCGTCCCTTGTCAAACCAAATAAATCTGGTTCTGGTGTTTTCTGTCTGGGAAGTAAACAAGTAAGCCATATGCTGACTTTGTACAAGCTTCTGTTTGTATGCTGTGCAGAGCATCCTGAATGCAAGGAAGGTTCTGCATCAACTTGATCTTGCGGCCGTGGCAGAACATATCTTGTCGCAGTTCTTTGACTATGTTCACTGATGTAGTGCTGTCAGACATGATGCATGTGAATCGCTCAGTCTTTGTCCACAGGTTGGAATGGATGCTGTGCAGGAAATCTCTGTCACATCCTCATAGGATATCCTATTCTTCCAAGCAGCTTTCTTGCCTTTTCCACTGAACTGTGATGTTGTGTCAGAACCAGTGAATGCGTGAACAATGGGAAGCGCCACTCATCTTCGACAGCCCAGATCTTGGAATATCCTTACGATGTGATAATATATGAAGTTTTTCCCTTTTCCTAATGGTTCCAACAGCTGAACAGCAGACTTTAGTTCAACCAGTTTGGACGACAACATTTGTGTCCACAGTGCTAACCATGATGTTTGTAGCACCTGTTTGCAAAGCATCTTTGACATAAAGATTCTGGTATCCACCTCTTCCTGATCAGTGCACTGCATACCCTCTTAACTTCCTACTGTCACCACTGACTCCACAGGAGTTAGGAACCTCGCCTTTCCTGGCTGGTAAGAGCTGCTAGTCATACCATATGTTAAGAATGCAAAGAGTTTTTCTTTTGCCCTATGATTAGGTAGGTAGTCTAGTATGACGGGAAACCTTTCTTCTACCGCTTTTCTTCGCTTTTTGCGTGTTTTCTCGACAGAGTCAAACGGATGGTGGCCACAGGTGGTTTTCATGAGAAAAGAATTTATTCAAATCAGATTGACGTACCTGACAATAAATGAACAACTGACTGAAGAAACTGTCGTCAGTTTTCTGTAATTCGTTTGCTGCTTGTTGTAGACTGAGGTTTTGTTTGTGGTCGCTTGAAAAAGGGAGGTGAGTTTTCTTAATGGGGCTGTGAATTGACACTGTCATTTCCACAAAAACACCTTTTACAAACTTCTTATATTTTCCTCTTCCTGTTTTCTCCATTGATTACATAGTCGCTACAACAGATTCACCAATACAGTGATGCTCACCGAGAGTCATCAGTTCAGGAGACTGATTCCCGGAAAGGATTTCCCATCGAAGCAACTGTGCCACATAAGTTGTTGACTTGAGTCTTAAATGTCTGCTGTGTAGCACAATCTTGTTAATTGCTTCTTGTATCCACCTTGTAATCTTGCATCTCAAACTCTTGCACAATTCATGCTTTCCCGTCCATATATTGTCCATCTAGTTAAGGCAACAGTTTCGGTTAATCCAACTGCACCACCTGAGTGTTTTACATCTTTGCTGTTTTGTTCATGAGCTTGATCCGAAAGCATGGCAGAAAATGTGTCATGAGCTTGATCTAAAAGCATGGCAGAAGATGATGTGTGATGTTTTGGGAAAAACCCAACGTCTCTGAGGTACGCTCTTCTGTCTACAGGAAGGGCTTTCATATCTCTTATGTGAACATGCAGCCAGCGTGCATAGTTGGTGTGATCAAGAGCAAAAAAAACTCGAGGGACAAGTTGTGCCTTTACCTGGACGTACAGAGAAATATTTCTTTCGCGATGGGACCTCACAGAGATTGGTATCATTGTCTCGAGATGAAGAATCAAATCCCAGTATTTGAAGGTTGGACTCTTTTCTGACATCCAATTTCTCCAGCCAGTCTTCAAATGATTGTTGAACATGCGACTCCAGTGAGGACATGTAAGCATCTCTTTGAAACTTTGCTAGGGATATGGCAGATATTGATGAGCATATCTTTGTAAAATGAGACGCCGAAATGAAACATTCAGCTGTTCCACTTGAGGCAATACCCGCTTCTGTTAGTTGCTGAAGTCCAGCCCAGAATCTTCCAACAAGTCTCCAACCATGTTCCATAAAGCTATTTCAACTTGAAGACCTCCAAGCATGATAGTGTACACGTCTAGTCACATTAGTCCATCTCCATTGAAAATGGATTTCGTCAGCGCAAAAGTGGTCTTCAGCCATGACTGGGAGTTGTCCTGGATTGCATTGTTCGGTGACGGTATTGATGATAGACTTGTTGCTTTGTCCTTAAAGAGAGGACGGAGAGAAATTATTCCTGTTGCAACCTGTTCCTGGGATTGACGAGAAGCATGAAATGCACCAGGCCTATAAACTCATCCTTTCCAAATGTTCTTTAGCATGATAGTCAATGCAGTGCTTGATCCAAGATTCTTCTTTAGCTTTGGTGATGTTGTCCTCGACTTGATGATGTGTTCCAGGCACATTAACTCTCTCCACATTGCAGGCTACTGCAGGAACTATACAGGAACTGCTTGGAAGTGTAGGTTTGGAAGAGCTTGAAATTATGTCTATTGAAATAGGTTTTCCGCTGGTACCATTATCAACAACATTATCAAATGTGGCTGCAAGTTTCATCTTCCATGCGCAAAGAAGTGCATTTGTAAATCTTCTCAACTTCTATGCACATCGCTCTGTAACTGCAATGAGAACTGTTAAAGGAGAATCACGGAAATCGATGTTTGACAAAATGATGTCACGTGACTGATCAAAACACTAACGTTTTCTCTAATTGGACGATGAAAATTTATTTTCTACTAAACATACATCTTGTTTGTTAGATTTCTGGAAAGAATTAGAAATAGCCATTTGAACGACGAATATATTTCACATACTGCAACAAATGAAGATTGTCGGCGACCATTTATGGTGGACTTTAGAACTCTTAGATTTTTGGCGTCCGTCTGGGATGTTTTGGGAAAATAGGCCCCACAAGTATGTTTTATCATGATGTTCCCCAGCGCTGTACAAGGTTTTCTGTTATAATCCAGTGGAGAAAAGTCACATTGTGACAGAATTGGAAAATCCTTGATTTCTGGTGGCCATCTTGGACGCCAAATTGGATTTGTCTTAAAATGGGCCCAAAACATTGGGACCAAAATATGGTTTATCATGATGTTCCCTTGCACTGTGCAAGTTTTTCTGCTATAATCCAGAGAAGTCATATAGCGTTAGAATTGGAAATCTTTCCGAAGGGACCCAAAATACAGGACACCCCCAAAATTATGTTTTATCATGATATTCCCCAGCACTTTGCAAAGTTTCATGCTTTAGTCCGCCAAGTATCACTGCACCACTATAAACGTATCAATTTTGCATCACCTGATGATATTACGCTTGAATGAACACGTTACAATCTTTCGTCAGCAGCTTATCTTGTCATTAGAGGTGACCCACGGAATAGGACAGTCAAGCTCGCACACTTGGTGATGCGTGCCATTGAAACCAAAATTTGAACAAGAAACAAACCTGATATTATACTGTAGTCTGTAAAGGAAACCTGGTTGACTGTTGTCACGGTGCTTGTACCTGTTTGATCAGAGACACACGGTGGTTTAGTTCTGATACAACAATTACAAGGACACTGGATCATACAAGAAAGGGATACATGGGCAAAATAGAATGGAAATATGTAGTGGTTGCCTACCAATGGTCGTCCGTTCCACAGTTTCACACGTGACATTAAAGGGTTCTGATGCTGAAAATAACATAACAAATTGTTTGTAACATATAGGTTGGTTATGATATAGCTAAATTCTAATCGCAATACCATAAAACCCCAAACAGCAACAAAACAACAAAGAGAGAAAAAACAACAGCGGATGGTACAGTGCGGCCTCAAACACGCAGAAACTTTACTTCTGGCCAATGAGCACTCTCTCCTTGACAGGTCTGATCTTATTCTGTAAGGACCAATGAATTGTACTCGAAAATAAAGCAACCATTCTCGGAAATGAAATATTCCGGTTTGTGTACAATAATAACTTTATGACATTCACTGAAGTCATTTATACACTGTGTATATAACAGCATACATGATGTCCATACTTTCTTACCATTGACCAGAAGCCAAATTAATCCCGAAGACAGCCTTGGGGTATCTTTGAAGTAAATATGTAGTTGGGATTCCAGTGTTACGTCCAGTATCTCAAACGGTTGGAACTCTGTTGAACAATGACTTGTTGAGATGTAGCTCTCATGCAGGACAGATAGCTGTGATAAGCATTGCCCTGGAGTTCCTTGTCCCAACCTCGCATCAAGGACGTACACTGATATGCTTTCAGTATTGAGGTTAGACTTGAAGCTGCACACATACGTGTTGTTTTGTATTGTAAAACTGTGCATCACTTTGTCTCTGTGGATGAGGGAGACTTCAGATAGACCCTCTGCAGAACCCCGCTGATGTTCAGGGAATCACCGTCTGGAAAATTGATAATTTCAGTCATTAAATACGTTTAGATTAACCTGGAAACCTTGACTAAAATGCTAATCATCTTCGGTATTATTCAAGGAGGGATTAATTAAAAATGATTGAGATTTCACCTTCTAATGTGTTCATTATTGCTGTTGGGGCCTGTGTTCACACAGGACTGTGTTTTTAGAACCTCTGTTAAAATACATTTGTGACTTTTGTTTCTTCATACACCACACTTATTTCATGAAAGAAGATTACGTAAATCAGAAAATGTTATGTCGAACGTGATCCGTGGTATTAGGACCATTCGCACCATGACCAGGTACAAACTAACCCTTACGTGAGCCAAAGGGAACATAACATTTACTAGATATTCCAAACGTCTGCACCTTCATACGGGAATGTATTGTGTCAAAATATGATGTATATAACTTTGCAGACAGGGTTATATTCTAACAACGCTCAAAATAATTTCTTAATAATCTGAGTAAGTGAGTGACGTTTCCCGCCACCTTCAACAAAATCCAGCAATATAACGGTGTGTGTGGTGGTGGTGGTGGTGCATGTGTGTGTATTATTGTGGGGAGGGATTAGCTGAAGTTAAAATGAGCTGAATGTTGTGTCAGAATACTTATCAATATATTTTCATTAATTTACAACATTCAAAACATGAATTTTGAGGAAGCGTTAATATTCTCGCCCATGGGCCCCTGTTTCAATCTTGTGTTTTCGAAAGCAATATTCTTTTCATTCTTAGCATATATTCATGATAACTACATATTGGATTTTGTCACATTCTATGCCAGAATCTGATCACTGTGTGGAGAGTTTTAACTTAATTTGTGACGTGTTAAGTGTAATTACCAGAAATCAAAACTAAGTCAGATGAAAATGCTCCGATACCATTGTTTTCGTACATTTACGTTGTAATTTCTTGTCTTTTGTTTTTAAGTGCAATTGACGTACATTTGATATAATACCATGCCATTTTGTTTCCTTAGATGTGACATGTTACTAAGAACGGAACACAAGATTGTACTGAGAGAATACATGACAGGTATCAAACGACATTATACTAAGTGTAATTGTCGTCAGAATATGATTAAGGCATACATTTATCCAAGTAACTCTCCATTACTTTAGCATCTGTGACTGCACTGTTTTCCCTCCCGACGTCTAAAGTTCAATAATATAACAGAACCTGACACGTTCTGGTTCTGGTGCGTTCAGTTGTCTCTGGGAGTTTATTGTGGTGTGATGGAGCGAGGTAGTGAGTTTGGTGTAACTACACATTGAACAAGATCCCAGCTATATCACGGATTGTAGGCCGGAAGCCCGCGGTGTAAGTATGAGACATTTATAACTTTGTGTTAATATAGGACCGGTATACGAACCTACGGCCACGTATTTTTTGTAGAATAAGAAGAAGAAGTCACAAAGTGAACACCTTTATTTCTGGCACTGCTTCTAATTTATCAGGAACTGTTCACACACCCTTTGAATTGGATCATCACACACACTTTAGGAGCGTATGATTCAGTATTCAGTGCACAGGTTGTTGCATAATTTGCAAAATAATATCAACGTCCAGTGCCATATGTGACAAAACACGTGCTAGAGGAAAATATAACCTTTTCATCACAACCAACCAGTTTGACTGAATAAGTATACATCAAAACATACTTACTGTCAATGCAGTGATATTTCACAACAGAAAATGCACGACCATGCCACCGTCGGGGAGCATGATACTCCACACCGAGTCACTGTTGAACAGTTCTGGTAGAGGGACATCATCTCGTTGTTGTTGAACCTGTGATATCCATGTTCTGTCAAATTGTCCGGAATCACGGTGACACAGTCAGAGATACCTACCAGTTTACACGCTGCATTGTTGGTGTAGTAGGCGTCATAGATGGCGATCTTCTTGTTGCTGCTGCAGCTGATGTGATGCTGAGTGCATGGGAGAACATGATTTCCATAGCATGCTTTACTTTTCGTTGTCGCACCTACATGGAGGCATGAACATGAATGTTTGAAAATGAATTTTGTTTTTAAAGTAGTATTTATGAGTATACAATAACTATAGTGTTTATATTGACATTCCTACGAAAGTAAAGGAATGTTTGGGATGACTTATGTGATAACAATAATTCGCGAGTGGCGGAGGAAGGTAGGATTATCCTTCCTACGGAAAGGTAATCGGTCCTTCATCGTCACAAGTAGTTATTTGTTTTATTACCCGTCCTTAAATGTAAACCATAACATGATATACAGTTATTGCATTCGCCCTTTTGCATTATGCTATAATCCATACGATGGCCATGATCCATAATCATAATCACTTATATAATTCCCTGAGGTGCGACTTTCAGTAATACTCCGAACAGTACGACTCGTAATAACAGTAAAGATCGATTAAAGAGGCATACGGGCTTTATGAAATTGTGTGCTCTCCCATAGCATTTCTGATTGTAATAAATCCAATTCTTATTCCAACACTGACCATAACGTTAGTGACTTTAGTTCCACAGTCCAGCATTTTGTAAACGAGAACTGTTACAGGTTGCAAGTAAACGTTTTGTTTTTATAGTCAAATAAACATTGCGGAAGCTGGTATAGTCCCGCATGTTAGACCTTTTGGTAGGTAAAAATCCCTTTGTTGTTGCAACAACGATGTTTTTAAGGGACTAAAACACTGGTTTACTACAAAATGTAAAATGTGGTCATTCAGGAAACGAAATAAGACACGTGTAACAATATGTTAGTGAATCCATGTTAGTGAGTGACTTCACTCAATGACTTGGATTAAGTGAGCGAGTCCACTCAAAGACTTTGATTAATAAAATGAACATTTGGGCCACTCAGTCCATTAGTAGTGAGTTATTATATTTCTTACATCATCTTGAATGCTATAAGAATGTTGGAAATGACAGTTTTCATCATCATTTCAACTACTTTCTGGTTATGGCAAATGAACAATTTGACTTCAAGTTTCTTCCTACTTTTCGTGGTGGATGATACTTTGTGTAAAATGTTATATGTTCATTGTGCAAAAAAAGAGGAAAAGAGGGAGAATTGATGTTGTGGAAAAAATGCATTCAGAAAGACTGCAGATCAACAGTCTCAACTGTGAACGACATAAACTTCTAAAATTATTGGAGACCATAAGCATGGACCTCTACCCAACGAAGTCAAGGTAATTCTTATTGACTGTAAAAGACGATAATGTTTTAAAAAGATAACAAAGTAAAAGCAAGTTACATCATTCTTGATTATATTGTGCATCCCTCATAGCCTGATATAAGGATTACTTTAATACATATTGTATGTATATGAGTACTGTTGAGGATAAACTACATTTCCTTCTAATCTGTCCTCTTTATACGACTCTACGAACGAACTACTTAAAGCCATACTCATTATAAGCATCCAAGTGTAAGAACATTAATTCTACTCACCATTAACAGATACTACCACATCAATATTACAGAATCTGGCAAAATGGATACATCTATTTTGCTACGAGATTAAGCTAAAAAAACATTGCTGCAGAAAAGAATATATAAATGACTTCTATCTACTCATGTAAACTCTAATGTACTCACAGGCCTGTGGCCTTTTAGTACTTGAATATGGCGGATTGGCAAACACAAGCATAAACATACTTATATCAATGCCGCTCCATAGCCATAATACAATTACATAGATAGTGACGTACACACTGTGCAAAAACATAATGGAAATCTACGAGTAGGGCAATATTGAAAAGATAATATTTGACAATTTAAAAAGAATCGTTGAAGGCAAATAAACTCAGTTTAAAATGTAGTAGCTGTTTTCATGTCATGATATCAGCATATTAGAGAGAACTAAGTTTAGGTAAATTGCGAGAATGTATGCAAAGATATGATAAAGTTATTTAATTTAAGTGAAATGATCAATCAGATTCAAAAGAAAAGGGTCATTTTGTAGTGCTATAGACTTTTATGTAAATAATGTTAGATTATGTAGTAGTAGTTGTTTGTTTATTTTAGTCTCATCTTGTACATATATATAATGTATACATAGAGAGATGGCGCTATTGCATGTACAAGCATACAGAAGGCTGTATTTATGAGACTTAAAGAGCATTAAAAATGCGTGAGATGGACAGAATGATTAAAATAAATTACATAAAAATTATACAGTTGAAGGAAACAAAACATGGCACACCCAATATCGCACACACACACACATGCACTCCGTGGTGGGCACGGGGCGGCACAGAGATACTCGCATTATGATACACGTGCATTCATCTTACTTTCTGCATTCGTTTCCAGATTCACCACTAATACTTACACTGCAGTGTATGAAATGCATAGCCCGTCCGACCGCCCGAGACGGGCTTAAATTTCTGACGGACGGTCTAAATTTACAGCTAGCTAGCCCGATGGTCTGGTGGTAAACATTTTTAGATGTTCCATACATCAATTAGAATTCACTGTATTTGGTCTGGTTAAAGTCCATTTTGGGCTGGTAACATTTTGAAATTCCTACCAGCCTTGATGTCTGGTTGGATTTTTGCGGCTTATTTCTATTACACTGCTTACAATACAAATACATACACCCACAACCACCAGTCGTACCAACACATACAAACACACACGTCCACATCCACGATTAAGTAATACATGTCGATACCATCATGAGCAAGCAAAAAATAGCATACACCCACGGCACATTTCAGACCCACACATACAAACACATATACCCACAGCCTCGCTTCGTACCAGTACATACCTGTAGTAATAACTCCGCAACCATATGCATAATCATATCCACTTATAACCCGCCCATAACACACACCCTTATAACCAAACCGCACACACCAACAGCCACATACACACACTCACACAAAACTACAGATACATGAAAATATATTTTCTATAACCAACCGTCGTAGACAAAAATTGTATACTACTTCGCACTGAAAATATTGAATTTGTGGCTTGGGTTGTGTC